CACCGAAAGCAAACTTTTATTAAATATTTTCTGTTTTCTAGGCGAAAGGACAACGCGTTAAAGCACCTCAATATGGCGCTGGCTAACGGCGAGTAATTAAATCAAGTGAAATGTGAATACCAATTAATTAGCTAATCCAGAATTGAAAGTTGACTTACAAACGAAAAATTGAAGAGAGGTTCTGATCTGCAAATGCGACTCCCTCTATTGTGTGTCCTAAATGTGCACTCTAGCATATGACAGACTAGCCGATCGTCCTGGGGCCATGTACACTACTGCCCGGGAAAAAGCAAAACATAGCTCATTGTCTGTTCTGGTAAGGCGAAGACGAGATAGAAAACAAGACCAATCTTGGAGATCGGCTACTTTTAGGATACAAGGCTGAGCAAAAAATGTGGGACAAAACAAGACCCTTGTTCAAAGCATAGTGTACGGTTCAATTGTCCGCTTGTCAAATGGTATACGCAACTGATGAGGTTTACATTTAAATAAATTACCATAATAAAACGATAAATATCAAGTTACAGTACTTCGAAGCAACACCTTTGAACATAAACAATACGAAACCAAAAGGAGGCACTTTTACTCGGATGAATTTTATAGGTCCTTCGAATATGTCAAGTTTGAAACTGTAACTAAGATATCCTTCGAAAAGCCAACTATAGGCAAAGATTTGCAAGAAACTACAGGTGAATGGGCCAAGGTTATGTGGCCTCTACTTTAGTCGCAAGAGGTTTCGTTTCATAGAACTGGTTTGATCTCATTATTGCAACTTGACCGCACTGTTAGATCGACGCTGTAGAACATAGTCTGTTTAACTTCCCCTCTATACTAAGCCCTAAAAGTTCCAGCGCCGGATCATGAACATGGTACTCTCCTTGACGTTTTGCCAACATTGTTGATGGCAGTATCAATAAGTTTTGCCAGACTTAGAACCCAGTTATAATTCGCGAAGAAGACGATTAAACCAAATAAATGACTAAATACTGGAGATTACCATGATCATCATGACAGAGGACGCTGGATAAGATGCATTCTTCAAAGTCGTCCTGACAGCATGGCCAAGCTGCGAGAGTAAGGTAAAAAGATTTTATGGGTAACATTAATGGGCTGATAAAACACACCACATGTGTATATTCCATTAAGAACTTTTTCACAGTTGAGGGAAGAATAAAGCAAAAGATCATTGAATTTCACTTCAACTCGTGGGAAGATGGGAAGATTTTCTTAGCCAGGACGCTGAAACAAGTGCTTTAGACTAATAATGCTATTTGGCTAGATCATATGAAGCAAATGTTATAAAGGAAGGCTTGTGCTTAGGAGGAAATTGAAAACCATACGCAAATGAATTAATGGAGGTTGAGCTAGCAGGGAGTCTAGATTGGGCACATTTTCTACGTCAAGAATTGTAGAAAGTTTTAAAAATCTCGCCCTAAGTTTATCAGCGGAGTGGTGAGACCTCGCCGCGAAGAACACGGCCCTAGTTTCGAGTCTCGTTGGGTGTGCTAATGGGGCCCAAACGAAGTAGAAATTAAAGTCCACCTTGTATGAAAGGATAGGCCAAGTGAAATTCAATGGCACCATGATTATGTAAAATACTTCCATTAATAGTGTTCCTAAATGAGCAATAGAGACCAAATTTTTTGTCTATAAATTATTGGCAGTGTTGCAACAGCCTAGCATCAAAAATAAGTCTGTCGACTTTATAGTTAACGCATCTGTAAGTGAATTTGCATCCTAGCCGATCCAATCCACGTCATCTCCGGAATGACCTCTAAAGAGAACATCATCCCAGCGTCGACCAGATAAAAAGCCAACATATTAACATCAGATCAAGACCTTGGAAAAAATGAAGAACCTACGTCGATTATTGATACATGCGGAACGTAATTGCTTTACAGGGACTTTGCCTGCAAGCTGAAGAGCAACATCTCCTTCATAGTAGGAATTCATGTCAACCGGATTCCAGATACAGATTAACTCCTCGCACATGTTCAAAATGGTCAGATAGTAGAGCCACAGTAAAAATGGAGAATAATATCGAAATAAATGCCATTACCTTGAGTTAGTTTCGCAAAACTCCATCCAGACCTTTCTGTGTCAGGGACTAGCAGAAAGCATCAGCGAGGATACCTAAAGTCATCACTTGCCAAGCATACATATTTAAGGAATTAGAGATTTTGTCTCATGAACTAGGCTCCACCTACTCGTAATATATTTTTCGCCTCCGTGCTACCAGTCCCGACGACAGACCCACTATCGCCAGGATCGGCGGCCAAATCAGCAGTTGTAGAAGGCAGAAGAAGAGCTGATAGATGAATCGAGCTTGCAGAAAGGACGGTTATGTTGGCAGAGGCGACCAGCCACTCTGGCAATGAGCTTGGATTAGTCTGGGGAGCAGTTTGAAATGCTACGGGGGGCCAAGAAGAAGCTCCGCAGCCCAAAGAGTCACAGGCAGAAAGCTGGAAAAAAGATGGATGTAGGACATTTATCAAAGATAAAACTGAAGCACAGATTCCCATCCCTCTCATATTTTCAGGCAGAGGAAAAGTTTAAAAAATATGAACATGGCATGCCTTGCCATTAAAGAGGTGTGATAAATGAGGAAGTGAAGAGACTAGTAAAGATTTTGATAGCTCCTTATAACATCAGATATCGGCTCTTGACTATAAAGTGAATTTTTCATTAAAATATTCAAATTCTAATTGCTTCGTTGCTGGAACGGTTTAGGGAAACAACAGTGAGATAGGAATCGCCTGCCCTAGCAATTTTTGTAAATATGTCTTAAAGGACTCATTCTGAAATACATCTCAATTTGTGGTCAGTAAAGAAAAATAAAATGGCCGGCTTCAGCTGTTCGAATATTTTTCAATCGTTATTCATTCTTTTCAAACGTAGTGATATTGTACGCCAAGACAATAAAGCAGATCAATTTTGAGCACTTTTCGAAATCAGCGAGTATGTGACGGGTTTATTTGGTTTTAAGACAAAATTTCACGATTAAAATATATAAGCGGTTAAAAGTAGGCTAGGCGATTTCGTGTAATATTATAATCTCAAAAGTTTTGCATTAGAAAATGATTTTCATGCTGCATGAAAAGGTGTAATAAAGAAGTGTAGGCGATGGATTTCTCATAGTCTGCTGGGATCTAGTCTTGCCATGATAGTCTTCAAGGCCCCTTTATTTGACCCCGGTCAAAACATGTTGATCTTTGATTGGTGATAGAATATACATACCCAAAGCTCTTCCCCATTCTCATGGCAACTGTAGGCCTAACCGGATCACAAATATGAAAAAGGCATGGGTTTCTTGGGCATTATATAACACAATGCATTTATAAACACACACCTAAACAAGCACTAGCATTGCAGTTTGAAATACTATGTCCACATCTACATCCTCTTATTGAATCAACTTTACTCATCCACAAGCACGAAGGATACGCATTAGCTAGTCAGGTAAATCGAGGTGTCTTAATAGGAAACCAGAATCAGGTACTAAAAACTAAGCATGATTACGGGCGGTCAACTTTCTTGGTTCAGGGAATTAAAGCTTATTTTTGTAAATGATGGTTTATAACTTTGACAATGTCCAGCACTGCAGGTCAGGCAAGCAGTAAGCACAGATAAATCGGAGGCGCAGGATGGGAAGCCAAGCCTTTTTGTGTACAATTAAAAGGTATTGCCTCCGAGGAAATCCTTCTTCGATCTAAGAATGAGGTTCAAAATCCTGCCACCCCAATGAACCTGTGCCAAGCTTTCGTCTATACTGTTGTAACAGACAGCATCAGAGCAAGAATCCATACTTTACGAAATAGCGCAAAAAGATATTAAGCCAGGAGAAAGTGTAGCCGGCTGCAACCCTAATCACTTTTTTATATACCTTACCTTGTGGTCTTAAAGAAGTATACCATGACTACTTAAACCTTACTCTACATGTTTGCAGATGAGTGAAGTAAACTCATGAATCGAGAGTGCATTCAGTGGAAGCTGTTTACTAGCGTAAGATCCTCTAATGTTGACTCATGTTTAGATGTGTATGTAATATCCATGCCACGAGAGGTGTGATAGACCTAACCAGAATAGAGGATATTCCAGTCTACTTCTTCTACTCAGTGGCTCTTTCTGCTCTCCGTCCCTGTTCATGAATTGACTTCATTCATTTTCAAGCATGTCGAGTAAGTTTAAGGTAGCCAACCAAATCATTGGATGTCTTATTAAGATTGCAAAGAGATGTGTATAGAAAATTGACTAGGGTGCAGTCGGCAACCTTTTCTTTTAGTTTAGTATATTTTTGTGCTATTTGGTAAAGTATGTATTCTTGCCCTAATGATGTCTGTCACGGCTGTACATAAAAAAGCCTAGCACGGATTCATCGGGGCGGCAGGATGGTGGACTAAGGTCTTCTTCACACAATCCGGCAGTTTTACTCCACGACACTTCTCCTTCGGTTGCCGATGATACCACATTGTGGATTCCCTTAGACTAACTTTTCCTTTGAAATAGAAAGTCATGTGACAATATTAGCTAAAGAATTCTTCGAAACCCAGTTTTCCTCTATACCTACATAAATGAATGCGGGGCCTCCCAACAGAGGGGCGCATTACACTCGACCTAAGGCGAATATATAATTACGAAGAAAAGTTGGGTTTCGAGAAATCTCTTGTTTCATAATTGTTATGCTTACTTCCATTTCGAGTGGCAGTGCTTAATGAAGAGATTCAAAGGTCTATCATACCAGCAGAGGATGGCGGATTCCTCTTGACCAGCTGTCGATTGGCTTTATTGGAACATTCTTGAGGACGCTATTTCCGATAATATTTTCTTCGATTCTGATGAAAACGTGCTAAGCTTTCATCAATCATATGACGGATATAGTCAGAGCAGGATTTTATCATTACAACTATATTCAAGATAATGAGTCAAGAATACTCACTGACTCATCTCTAACTTCTTTATATATATACACACTGACTCGCTAGCTTGAATATCATTGTAAAGATTATATCCTGCTCAGATGATATTGGTCATATAACGGATTAAAGCTTAGCATATCTTCACTGGAATCGAAGAAAATTGCCTCGTAAATAGCGTCGACAAAAATGTTCCAGTAGAGCCAATCGACAGCTGGTCAAAATGAATCTGCCGTCGTCTTCGAATGCCTTTACCATACACTTTTACTCAAAATAAATGTATAACTACCAAGTTCTCGGCATCCCTAATCAGAAAGACTGGATGCTTAAGCGCTCTGGCCTGACTAAAATCATTGACGAATTCAAGACCATTCAGCTGATGCCTTTAATGCACAGCCGGGTGACCGAATATTGCCATGTCAACGGTTTATCCCATCTTTTGTTCACCATCCGGCCAGCCAGAGTTTATGAAGTTTTTTCCTATTAGATAGTACACTGCAACAGACGAAGATGGTGTAATCGCCATCTAAGTCGAGGCATCCTTACACTGTGAATGATCTTAACAAATATGCTCGTATACAAGGAGCCTTGGAAATTGTCAAAAGTTAGACTTTGCTAACAGGAAGATTGGCATGGACTGCTGGAAAGGAGTGTTTCGAACCTATCAGAATTTGATGAATCATAGCTTAGGCGGCTCAATGTAAATATAAGTAAAGACGTTGTTTGTGATTACAAATACTAGCCGG